AGACACAAAGGAAAGTCCCCCAGCAAGGCCACCCAGCTCCCAAGGAGGGGTCCGAGGAAGAGGCAAAGGTAGCTCCAACGGGACACTCGTCTCGAATCCCAGCCTCTGATGGGTCAGAGTTCTCCGAAGGGGGTGAAGAGCAAGGAGGGCAGGGCTGCAGCTGGACAGAGCCCAGGGGAGGAAGGAAACAAGAAACAATCAAGGAAAAATCTAACCCAGTCCCGGGGTTGGCTCGGGTCACAGAGCCTTGCAGGCTGAAGTCCAGGCTGGGATGGAGGAGGCTTCCTGGGGCTGGGGTGGGGGAGGGTGGAGTGGGGGCCGAGTCCCCTCGAGAGAACTCATCTCTTCTCACGGCCCTCGTAGATGCCTCCGAGACCGTCACCACCCTTCCCTGGTGACCCTCCGCTCCCAGACCTGTCCCCAGCCTCCTGGTCCCTACGGTCCCACCTGCCTCCCAGGGCCCCGGGTTCCCGGGCAGGTGGGGCCATAGACAGCTGGCTCCAGCCTGGAGGCCCTTCCCTGCCAGTCCTTCCGTCAGCCCCAGACAACCTTGGAGGAGGGGCTTCCAACTGTCTCCCCCTGGGCCTGTGGGGGCTGGGCCTGCTGGCGTGGATGATTTCCAGGAAGAAGATGTTAGGAGGGGAAGGAAGGGCTGAGTCAGGCCCCGGGTGGGGATTACAGGGCCCTGTGTGGCGGGGAGCAGCCGTGGGATTGAGGGAATGGACCGGGCCCATCCCAGGGCCAGGGAGAGGCTCCGGGCTGAGGAGAAAGAAGTTGAATGCCCCATTCAGGGTGGTTCCCCATGGCAGCCTTCCTGCCCGTAACCCTCCCACACGCCATGCTGGGTCCTGCCCCGCAGCCACCAGGGTGTCCAGGACACCTTCCAGCAAGAACAGTCCGGGGCCTGGCTGAAGCATCAGACCCCGGGCCTAGGGGGCAGGCGAGGGGACGGGGGGCGGGGCAGGCTAGGGGACGGGGGGGGCACTCGGTGGGGCAAGTGGCTTGAGTGTCTCTTGGGCCAGAAATGCAGGACGCTGCAGCCTTCCCCTGGCTCGGGGTCCCCGACTCCCTGCCCACGCTCAGGCCCTTACACACAGCCTGAGAGATGACGTCCAAAGCCCAGTTTTAGTAAATGAAATTCTGGTTTATAAATGCTCCTTAATTGCAGGGCTCCCGAGGTGGCTGGGCGTGTACACCAAGGTCCCGTCCATTCAGCAGGGCCTGGAGGAGCTGGCTGCGGGCTCCCCAGCTTCCTTGGGCCCCAGCCAAGTAGTGATATAATGTCATCTGTGAATGGGACAGCGAACCACCTACCTGAGTGCTTGCGAAGCGCGGAACTCACGGCCAGGCACAGATCAGGCCTTGGGTGTGGGCTCCGAGGCGGCCCCTTGCTCTGGCTGATGGCGGTGTTCACGGAGCAACAAGGGGACTCGGCCCTGGAGGGAGTCTTGTCGCATCCAGGTGGGCTTAAGACAGCTCCCAGAGAGCAGATGGCAGTTCCGCTGGCTCTGGGCGCCACCAGCCCTGGCCTGGCAGCCAGGCCACGCAGACCACTAGTCCCCAAGGGAAGGGGGCAGTGGCTTGGGCCAAGCTGGTGGGGCTAAATAAGCTGCTCTCTGTCCATCCCTCACTGCTCCCCAGTCACTCGCTTCCACGTGCTCCCCCATCCCAGCCCCAGAACCTCTCCAAAGAGCTCTGCAGTCCGTCCGTTCGGCTTTCTGTGGCCTCGGGCGGGTGTCTTTGCTGCTCTGAGCTTCCATCCCTGAGACTTTCTGTTTTGTCATCAGCTCTGAATGGAGCTTCTGACCCTTCCCGACCCCTTCCTCCTTTCTCAGTAGATGGGCAGGGGCATTGGAGGCCGCACCTCAGCCACTTTCCAACAGGTTCAGGGGGCTTCACAGGAGAGCCGTTCCAGGTCAGGCGGCAAGGCCGGCCCGGAGTCTCCCGAAGCTCCGGTCACATTGCGTCCGTGAAACTGTCCCCTGCTAAGGCTACATGCTCCCATCAACAAAACACACGCAAGCCCCTTTTCTTGCTTGGGGCTCAGTGAACTACCGTTTCATGGGCGAGGAGGTTCCAAAAGGGACTGTCTTTTATCTATGGCCACAGAACAAGTCAGCAGTGCAGCCAGCTCAGAACCTGGGCCCAAGGCTCAAACGCAGTGCTCAGGGCTTGGCGGAGCCTCGGCCCTGCCCTCGGGCGGGTGTTGTGGGAGGGAGGGGAAGGCAGGGGTGAGAACGGCTAGGGGAGCATCCTGAAGGGGGAGCAGGGCCCCGAGCCTGTGCGTCCTGACAATTTCAGGCTGAGCAGATGACCATCAGGGCCCGGAGCTTTGGTTTCCGTCTCTGCAAAGGGGGATAGCAGCATTGGCTCTGCCTGCCTGGCTGGGTTCTCAGGCCCAGGAAGCATTTGTAAGGGGCACAGCAGGTGTGGGTGGTTGCCTGGAAGAGTCTGGGCAGCAATAGGGGAAAGAAGTATAACTCTTACGCAGCTACGTCACAATTTGGCCCTGGACCACCATGTCCCTTCCCTCGACTGTCTCGGCCAGTTTTTGTCTGAACCACCAGGCCAATCCTGGCAGAACCCACCTAATTAACGCTTCCTGGGCAGTTGAGTGAGGGCTGGAAAGGCTCAAGGTTAGAACCTGAAATTTCCCTGTATTAGCTTTAAAAATATATATTTTGTTCATTTATTTTTAGAGAAAGGGGAGGAAGGGAGAAAGAGAGGGAGAGAAACACCAATGTGTGGTTGCCTCTTGAGCGCCCCCCATCGGGGACCCAGCATGCAACCCAGGCATGTGCCCTGACTGGGAATTGAACCAGTGACCTTTGAGAGCACTCAATCCACTGAGCCACACCCTCCAGGGCTGTGTTAGTTTCCTATTGCTGCTGTAACACAAGTACCACAAATGTGGAGGCTTATAACAACACAGACTTGTTAAGGTGTGGTTCTGTAGGTCAGAAGTTCAACACGGATCTCTCTGAGCTAAGGTCGGGTGTCAGCAGGGCTATGTTCCTCTGGAGGCCCCAGGGGAGAATTCTTCCCGGTCTTTTCCAGCTTGCGGAGGTCGCCAGCATTCCTTTGTTTGCAGCCTCTTCCCCGTCTTCAAAGGGAGCCACGTAGCACTTGTGTGGCCCGTCTCCCATCGTCACAGCTCTTTCTCGGGCTCTCCTTTCCCGCCTCCCTCTTCTTTTTTAACAACCCTTGAAATCACACACCCGCCCAGATGATTCAGGATAACCTACCCATTTTAGCCAGTTGGTTAGCGACCATAATTTCTTCAGCAATCTTAACTATTCTTTGCCATGTAATGGAACGTGTTCACAAGTCCCGGAAACCAAGACATGTACATCTTTGGGGGGCGTTATTCTGCCTACCATCGCCCCCCACCCTTCCCTCCCTCCTGACTGGGCTGACCCCACCCCCGCCTCCGGCATCCTTCTCCACTTCAGGACGTTTTGCTCCCCTGATTCTGCCTCCCTACGAGTCCCCCCTACATTTACAGGATGGAAGTTTTCACCATCCCCGTCACGCTGTACTGTCACCCTCCAGGAAGCGAGGTGCCCTCACCCCATCACTATCCACTCTTCCTTTGTCCCGCTGTTCTTAGCACTCGCCCAGTGGGAAGGGTATCACGGTGTGCTCGGGGACTCGGTTCCGCCTGTCTCCCTTCATTGCACTGGAGGTCCCCATCCGGAGGGGGTTGAACCCCCAACAACAAGAACAGTGCGCGGACCACAGGAGAGGCCAGGCAGGTATTTGTTGACTAGCTAGATGGAGCAGGGCCACAATTACTTTCAGTCTATTTCCAGCACGCTGTGTAGGGCCCGCCTTGCAGTAAGCGTTTCTAGTACCGTGTCGGTGAAGGAATGAGTGGTGAATGGATGAACGAACCAGCCATTGGAATGAGTCTAAGTATGGGTCCCACCCAGTCCTACCCCCACTCTTGCCCCCCTCCCTGGAGGCCACCTCCACCTGCACGCCCTCAGTGCCCTCTTTTCTAGAGCGGGAGGGTAAATTCATGAAAGCTCTCACAGTTTGTAACATTTTAGTGTAGGTGCCTTCAAGGCCTCATTCATTCCCTTAGTAGTCACGGAATACACTGTGCAAGCGCCTCCCTGATCCAGCCCTCCAGGGAGGGAACGGGTCCAAGAATGTGCAGTGAATTCTCAGCCCTTCTAGAACCGAGAATTTGGGCACAGACAAGCACAGCCGGAGTCCGGGGAGTGCAGCCCAGGGGCCCGATACTGCCTGGCTCGCAGCCCCCAGAGCCTGGACTGGAACTCCAGGGCCGCAGGGCTTATGGTCCCCGTCGCAGAGCTGCCAAAGAGAGAGCCTAGGCGGGGACCCGAGTGGGGCGGGGATATGGGCGGGGCCTGTGTGGGAGGCCCGGGCATTGGCTCCGCGGGCAGGGGGCGGGTTTTCAGCAGCCAAGGTCTGCCCTGTAGGTTCACAGCCGGGATCCGCTCCCTTCGCCGCGGGGTCGTGCGCCGGAGCTTTTGCCACCCCGTTGCTCTAAAGGTGAGTTTACGCTGGGACTCTGCAACCTGTCGGCGGTTCCCAGGGGTCCTCTGAGAGGCCCATCCCTTTGGCGCCCCGCCACAGCTCGCACCCCGGCCCCCACCTCACCTCCGAACAGGTTCTTTCCCGGGAGCCTTGGGCTCCACAGGGGTTTCCGGCTCGCGCCTGGGTCCTGGCGGCCACATCCGCGTCCTCTCTGCCTGCGGGGCGCCGTGCATCCCGAATCTGAACTCCCATCGCGCCCTCCACCCTGCGCCTGAGCCCCGCCCCACCTCCGGGATCCGGGAGCGCCTTCCTGTGCCCTGCGTCCCCGCCTGGGCTGGGGGTCGTATTTTTAGTGGATGGTGAGGTGTCCTCCTATCTTTAGCCACGGCTGCGAGCGTCTTGAAATGGATCCGGGCTGGGCTGGTCTGGGCTGGGCTGCACTCGGGCAGAGGGCGGGGAGGGGTCGGCGCTGGAACACGAGCTGCGGCTGAGAAGCGGGACCCGCGGGAGCCAGGGCGGGGGCCGGCGCGCCGGAGCTCTGGCCCTGCGCCCAACGGACACTCGGACCTTGCCCAGGCCGGAAAGCACGGGGAAGGCTCCTCCCAGAGCTTGGACACCCTGGTAGGATCCCCGATCGCTCCTTTTTTCCCTCGATTGTCTGGTTGTGAGATAGAACTCCCCAAGAGAAAAAGATTCCGCAGACAATCCGCATCTGGTACGCGAACGTGCTGTTCCTTGGGAGCGCCTGCCTAGAGCCAGAGGCGCGCTGGAGACCCCGGTGCGCCAGGATTCCTCCGGGAGTCGGGGCGATAGAGATAGCGAGCGCGCCACCTAGCGGCCTCGAGCTCAAGTGCCGCTCCACCCCAGGACCCCGGGAGACCCCCGAGGTCGCCCAGGGGAATTCTGCTCAGGCTATGCGGGATGGGCAGGCGGAAGAAGGTGGGCGCCCGGGGCCAGAGGCCGTTGGGTTTGGGTCTTGTTGCACATGCTTTCTCCGGACCACCAAAGTGCTTGAGGAAGGCCCTGTAGCTACCTACTGAATAAAAGGCCAGGCTGACAGTGCATTGGTGCTCTCGATTGCAGAAGTGGCCCTCTGGTGATGGCTGTATTGCCAGCCCATTTTATGGATGGGGAAGGTGAGGTCCAGAGAGGAACAGTGTCTTTCCCCAGATCAGAGAGAGTCCCAGATGGGGATGGATTCAAGGTCGGTCTCCTGATTTTAAGGTCAGGCTGCTCTTAGAACACCCCAGGTAGGGCGTGGCCTAGTATTCCCTGCGAGGGGAGGGGCTCTGGCGCCTGAAAGTCATTTTCTCTGCAGGAGGCCAGAGTGGCTGGGTACCAGTGCCCACCCTTCCTCAACTGGCTGGGTGACCTCGGTGAAGTTGCTTCATGTCTCTGAGGTTCAGCTTCTGTCTCTGTAAAAGGCAGCAATGACACCCACCGTGCTGTGTCTGGGAGCATTAAAATGAAAGCTGTGCAGGGGCAGCTGGGGCCCAGGGTCTTGCAGTTGCCAAATTTGAATTCTTGGGGCTTGATGGTTGCAATTCCCAGCCCTCCCCTGGGTGGTTGACGCTGGCCCAGCCCTTCCTCGATAGCCTCAGCTCTCCCCACATCTGGAATTGGGCGGTATATCTGGCTCTGAGTGAGGCGGCTGTCAGGGACGCCCATTGTGTTGTGGAAACACTCGGGCTGTCTTGGCACCCCCCCCCCGTGTGATGGGCGGGGGGCCCTGGCCCCGGGCTCTGAGCAATCCCACCAGTCAGCCCCGCTCTCCGTGAGTGAAAAGGAAGGAAAAGCCATTCTCGGACTTCTCCTCTGCCGAGGGGTCGGATAGGACGTGTGTCCTTAGGTGCCCGACCCCCAGGCCTGGCACTTAGATGAATGAGCAGGGGACTCCAAGACCTAGAGGCGCGCACTGCCCCCACCCCCACCCTGCCCCCAGCTCCTTCCACGCTCAGCTGGAGGCCGCCACCGGAGAGTTGCTCCTTTGTTTCCTGTTCAGCTGCAGGTGCTCTGGGAGGGGCAAGACAGCCGGTCTCTGTGGCTCAGCGTGGCTGACCCGGGGTGTCCGGTGCTGGGGTGGGGCTTCCTGCGTGGGAGCCTGGTCTGAGGAGGTGACGAGAGTTGGGATCCTGCCTTCCTCCTTCCTGCCCCCTCCTGCCAGCTGCTCTTCCTCCCCTCACCCTGCCCGGGATGAAGAATAGGGCAGAGAAGCCGGCGGGGAGGGGGGAGGGGGGCGGCTCTGCGGCTGGTCAGCTCCTTCCTGGCTGGTCTCCCACCTGCTCAGCCCCTCCCGGGCTGGGGACGGAGCAGTGGGAGACGAGGGGCCCATCTGGGTACCCGCTGGGTGACCTTGGACGTGTTCCTTTGCTTTTCATGCTCTGATTCTACATGTGTGTCCACGTGTCGGGGCCGACCCCCCACCGTGGGGAGTAGAGGCAGCACTTGCGATGCTTTTTTCTGTGAACCGGTGTGACACCCCGTCAGAGTGTGCGTACTTTTCCACATTAAAAATAGCTTTCATTTTTCTGATTACATAAATAATACGTGCACATAAATAACACATGCTTATTAAAAATTGAGCTTATAAAAAGTATGAACAAGAAAGACAGGGTCACCAAAAATTCTCCCACCTCCAGAGCACCGCCATAAGCATTTTGGCGACCAGCACTTGTTATTTGCATATTTTATTTGAGAGTAACAGGATCAAATATTAGATCATTTTTATTGAGGACACTTTTCCTCCCACGTCCCTGCCCCCACATCCCCTTCCTGTCCCCCCCCCAGCCTAGCGCTGGCCTTCATTATTCTCCGTTCTTGCGTTGCGTATAAGCCTGTGCAGACCTGTACATGGGGGTGCGTGTACATGCGTTTGCGGGGAAGGGGAGGGGAGCCGGTTGAGGCTTCTGATAAATGGAATCTTCTCTACCACGTTTTTGTGTTTTGCTTCTTTCCCTCTACAATGCCTTGTGGGAATCCCTCCAGCACCTTACAGCTCCAGTTTTTAAGTGGGGATGATAGGAGAGTGGTTGAGATAATGAAATGGGAGGTACTTGCAAAATGCCAGACATAGAAGAAAGCTCCCCCCAAAAATATCTGTGCCCCCCAGTCCATCTTCCCCTTAGGGGCTAGGGCAGGGAGGGGGACAGAAACTACATCAGACCTGGTCCCTGCCCACGAGGACCTCCTAACCAGGAGGAGGGAAACCCCACGTTTGGGGGGATGGGATTGGGCCAGATAGGAGGGGCCTCAGCCAGGCCTGGGTGTGTGAGGTAGAGATTTGATGATCTCTGTCCTCCATCAGGTAGGGAACTGAGCCCAACCTGTGAGACTGGTGAATTCTTGGGGCACCTTCGTTGCGCACTAGGGGGTTAATGCACGGGGATTTTGAAGAGCAGAGCCTGGGACCCAGGGCAAAAGACCAGAGCCGCGACCTCAGGCCTGTCGCTCAGTTTCCTGGGCCTCACTCTGCCCTCTTGGAAGAGAGAGCCTGGCGCTGGCCATCCAGGCCACAGGTGCGGTGAGTCTATGACGACGGAGGTAGCTCGTGCTTCTCCCGGCCGGGCCCCTGCAGCAGGGCAGCCCCGAGTCGGCCCCCAGGGCGGGTGCAGGAGGCCCGGAAGCGAAACGGAGGCCTCTGACTTTTGTCTTTCTGTCCCTGACTCGTGCCCTTGGTGTTTCAGCTGCGGACCAGGGAGATACTCACAAGGACAAGACCAGGGAGCGCTGCTGCCTACAAGACCTCCACCTTCCTGCTGCCAGTTTCCAGAAGTTTCCAACCCTTTGGGGAGAAAGTGGTTTTGTCATCTCAACCCTCTGCCTTCATCAGTCATCAGTCTTTCTTTTTCTAATTCCTTGGGCCAACTGTGATCACGCCCCACACCCTACTCCCAGCCCTTTGACAAGGTTTGGGTGTCTGGAAACTGCCCTGCGGGGCTCGCGGCTGAGCGGTGAGAGGAGGCCGTGGGAAGGCCGTGATCGCAGGAGTGGACCGTCTCCAGCCCCGGCAGCGGGCCTGCGTGCGAGGCCACTATGTCCGCCAAGGCGCCCATCTACCTGAAGCGCAGCAGCCGCAAGGGCAAGAAGGAGAAGCTGCGGGACCTGCTGTCCTCAGACATGATCAGCCCACCGCTGGGGGACTTCCGCCACACCATTCACATCGGCAGTGGTGGCGGCACTGACATGTTTGGTGACATCTCCTTCCTGCAGGGCAAGTTCCACCTCCTTCCGGGGACAGCGGTCGAGGGACCGGAGGAGGATGGCACCTTTGACCTCCCCTTCCAGTTCACCCGCACCGCCACGCTGTGCGGGCGGGAGCTCCCCGAAGGGCCCTCCCCTCTGCTGAAGAATGCCATCTCCCTCCCAGTCATCGGTGGGCCCCAGGCCCTCACCCTGCCCACCACCACCCAGGCCCCACCCAAACCGCCTCGCCTGCACCTGGAGACCCCTCAGCCCTCCCCACAGCCTTCCCCGCAGGAGGCAGGGAGTGTGGACATCTGGAGAATCCCAGAGGCTGGCTCAGCCCGAAATGGGCTGACCCCTGAGTCCGGGACTGAGGAGCCCTTCCTGTCCCACGCCAGCTCCCTGCTCTCCCTTCACGTGGACCTGGGGCCTTCCATCCTGGACGACGTGCTCCAGATCATGGACCAGGACCTGGGCCGCATGCGGATCCCCACATAGGACCCGAGGCCAGCCGGGCCGGAAGCCCAGGCTGAGGGGAATGCCGGGAAGCAGCGGGTGGACGTGGGCCTGGCCTAGCAGTCAGGACCCCAAGTCCTGCCTGTGTGGTCACTGGCCAGCGATTTCAGACTTTGAGCCTTTGCATTCCTCCCTCCCACCCTCTCCCCGTGGGCAGAGCGCACCTCACGGCTTTCCCTTAAAACCTGTGAAGACACGTGCAGAACTCAGCCCAAAGGGCCCTGAGCATGTTCGACCCCCCAGGCCCCCACCGCCAACAGCTCCTCCTTCCCTCAGACCCCGGGGATGAAGGCTCTGCTGCAGTGGGCTTCCCTTTCACCTCTTCTGCCTCAGCCGCCACGGATGCCCCGACCGGGGCGTGGGGAAGAGGCAGGGCATCGCCAGCCAGACCTTTGGCAGCATGGCGTCAGTGACCCAATGTCCTATCCTCTGCCCTATCCTCTGCCACATGACCAGGGCTTCTGGTCGCAATAAAACTTGCTGCCGCTCATAGTTGTGCTCCCCATACCCTTGACCCCGAAGACAGGCCCGTCTGTGAGCTGGGCTGACCCTGAGGAGACTGCAGTTCTTGGCCTTGGCCTGGGGCTGGGGGGGAATCCAATGGTGCCGCTCAGCGGGCTCCTCCCGTCGGCAGCGCCGTTCAGTGAGCACCTGTAGTGCACTTGGGGCGCTCCCGGTACTGGGGACCTAAGACAGACGTGATCTCTGCTCTCCTGGAGCTTACGTTCTAGGAGAAGAAAGATACTAAATTTGTGAGCAAGTAAGATGATTTCCAATCGTGCTGAATACTATGAAAAAAACATGCCCTGGCCGGGCAGCTCAGTTCACGGAAGCATCGACCCCAAACGTGCACCAGAAAGGCTGCGGATTCAGTCCCCAGTCGGGATGCGTGCAGGAGGCAACCCAACTGATGTTTCTCTTTCACCCTTCCTGTCTCTCTAAAATCAATGAATGTATGGTCAGTGAGAATCCAAAAAAATAAACAACAACAACGTGGTCAGGGATGCCTGGGGCAAAGGTATGGGTGGTGTCCAGGTACATGAGGATGATCACGTGATTTTGAACCAAACCCAGAGTACTTCTTAATAGGTACTTGTTCCTTGTAGTTCCTTGTTCCTTATGTTTGTTTGTTTGTTTGTTTGTTTTTAGAGAGGTAAGAGAGGGAGAGAGAGAGAGAGAGAAACATCAATGTGTGGTTGCTGGAGGCCGTGGCCTACAACCCAGGCATGTGCCCTGACTGGGAATCGAACCTGCGATGCTTTGGTTCACAGCCAGTGCTCAACCCACTGAGCTATGCCAGCCAGGGCTCCTTATGTTTTTTTGAAAATTTTTTTCACTTTTTGCTTTTTTAAAAAACTTTTTATGAATTGACTTGAGAGAGAGAGAGAAACGTCAATTTGCTGTTACACTTATGTACGCACTCCCTGGTTGACTCCGGTGCGTGCCCCGACCGGGGCCGGAACCCACGGCACTGGTGCACCGGGCCGACGCTCTAACCGGCCGAGCTGCCCGCCCGGGGCTTGTCTTTCCCTTTAATGCCGCACAGTGAGCAGTGTTCTTTTCTGGTCATTATCAAATAATTCCAGTATCTTAAATCTTTGGGGGTTGATTTATGTTTTCTGTTTGTATCTGTTTTTGTTCAGAGTTTCTTGTTTCTTTGTGTACCTGATTATCTTTGACTGTAGGTGGGATGGATATTATATCTGAAAAAAATGTTTTTAGAAATAATTTGAAGCTTTGGATGACGGTACATTCCTTTAGAAAGGATATTGCTTGGTACCAAATATGCTGGCTTCTGCCAGGTGACTAGGGCCATTATTGAATGGGTCCAAGGTCAACCCCAAGTTCATTCCAAGTTAAAGGCTTGAGCTTCCCTGGACCACCCAGGTAATATAACTCTGGGCTGCCTGTCCACAGAAGTGTCCCATCTGAAGTCCCAAAGTGTGTGTGTGTGTGTGTGTGTGTGTGTGTGTGTGGTGGTGGTGGGGTCTCTGCCCGCCCAAGGTGGGCGGGCTCTGGGTTTTGATTTTTGACTGTCCCAACCAAAGGCCACCAGACAAGAGGTCAGTTTCACAGGTACATCTCCCAGATCAGCAAATGTGTCCAAAACAAAAATGGCTTTGAATTCTGGGCTCACCTCTCTGGGTTTGAGCCTCCTAAATGTCGGCCCAGTAATTCACTATATTACTAGCTTTTTAATGCTTTTTTAAGATTTTTTTTCACTTTTTCTGAATTTTAGTTTGTCTTCAGTGGGGGCATTGGAATTCAATACCTAACCAGGAGCCTGTCTTTGATTAACTACTTGAATGTAATATTAACAAGATCCCCTAGGTTTCATTTATATTTCTATCTGCCTCCACTGGGTAATCGCAATCCTATTACCCATTAACAGTTTGCATCCGTCGCCCCGGCCAGTAGTGGTAGTACCCCTTTTTACTTTCCTGCCCAGTGGGTGTAGATGCAAAATGACCCATTGGCCGTCTCAGCTCTTCATGTAGAGAAATCATATAGTGCCCCCTGGTGGAAGCATTCCTCCCTTCCTTCGTCCTTAAGGCTCGAGATCAGCCAGAGCCAGAAGACAGAGTTGCAGGCACAGGAAACACTTTAAAACAGTCATTAGCTGAAATGGCACGTGGTTGCACACCCACGGCTAATCTTTCACTCCTGTCTGTAAGGGAAACACGGTACACACTGGTCACTGGTTCTGGGCACGTGGACTCTACTGTTCAATGACGCGGCGTGTCTTCAGAGAATCCCCAAAGAACTGAGAGCCATTGACGGTGGGCTCATGCACTGCCTTTCCAGTTATGTGGAATTAGGCTACTTGTTAATACTGATATTTTTTACTTTAAAATTTTTATCGATTTATACATACAGAGAAGTGCACACATTTTGTGTAGTTCAATTAATTTTTACAGAGTGAACAAACCCATGTGGTCACTGCCCAGGTGAAGAAAAGGAACATCCCAGGACCGCACTCGCCACCTCGTGCCCCCCCCTTGTCACTCTCCCGAAAAAGCAGCCACTCTCCTGAGTCCTGGTCTCATAGTGTGTCTGCTCATGTAACTTTATATAAGTGGAATCCTACAAGATGTCCTCTTTTAAAACTGGCTTCTTCTATTCAATATTAAGTTTTTGAGGTTGACTCATGTTGTCATGTAGTGATAGTTTGTTCTTTTCATAGCTGTTTAAATCGACTGGGATGCCCACAAAAGCAGAACGGGGTCTGGTTTGGGGATCCAGTTTGGGACTGTTACAGTGAACGCTGTCGTGAACATTCTTGACATGCTTTTGGCGCATAGATCCACGACTGGAAATGCCGCCCCACAGAGTATGTGAATGACGTTCAGCTTCCGCGCCAGCACGCTATGTTAGTCCGCTCGGCCTGCTGTAACAAAACGCTGCGGAGGGGGTGGCTTCAACAACAGACATTTATTTCTCACAGATCTGGAGAAGCCCAAGATCAAGGTGCCAGCAGATTCGGTTCCTGGTGAGAGCCCGCTTCCTGCCTTAAGGATATCTTCCCTCTGGCTGTGTCCTCACATGGTCTTCCCTTGTGGGGAAAGAGACCTCTGACTTCCTCTTGAAAAGACACTGACCCCCATCATGAGGGTCCTGCCCCAATGACCTCACTCAACATAATTACCTCCCAAAGGCCTCACCCTTGCACGCCATCGCACTGAGGGTTAGCGCTTCAGTACAAATTCAGGGGGCACACAAACATTCAGGCCATGTCACATGCTTTTGACTCCTGCATTGGGGTCAACTCTGATCGCCTTTGCCCCACGATCACTTGGTTCCCAGAGGTAAAAGAGGGCACTGGTATTCTCTCTGGTTTTTCTTCCAAGGCGCTGATACCTATTCTGCAAGTTTGGTGCAAGGTAGACAGTGACAAATATCTTACAACCCTCGTCTACCAAACATGAACTTAAGGCACAGTGATGGTAAGATGTGTCCTGATTCTGAAATACTGAAACGGAGGGAGAGGCCCTGGCTGGTGTGAGTCAGTGGATTGAGTGCAGGCCTGCGAACCAAAAGGTTATCAGTTCGATTCCCAGTCAGGGCACATGCCTGGGTCGCAGCCAGATCCCAGTAGGGGGTGTGTGAGACACAACCAATCGATATATCTCTCACACATCGATGTTTCTCTCCCTCTCTTTCTCCCTCCCTTCCCCTCTCTCTAAAAGTAAATAAATAAAATATTTTAAAAATTTAAAAAATGGGGGAGGGGACAGAGAATATCTTAGAAATGATGTGTCTTAGAAATGATGAACTAGGTCTACAACAAGGACCGAAGACCAAGCCCTGGGGACTCGTATAGTTACAGGTGGAAGAGGGCAGCAAAATAGGCGGACAGAACTGGCCATGCGCTGGGACAGCCAGGTGCGTATCTCAGAAACTCGGAGCAGAGTTTGGTACAGGAAGGAATGTCACTGGTGTCCTGGGAGCTGACAGGCTGTTGAGGGAGAAGAGATACCTAAATCTGTTGAAATGGAGGTCATGGTGAGTCCATTAGGAGCTGTTTCAAGTGAACTGGTAGGAACAAATTCCCCACTCAACTAGACAGACTTCGAAATAACTCAACAGAGATTGAGAGTGTAAACAGAACATTTGCTATGAAAAGGTGGAAGAAATGGGGTGATAACCTAAGGCAGACATGGGTTTAAGGAAGGGCTTTGCTTTTTTTTTTTTTTAAGATTTTATTCATTTTATTTTGAGACAGAGGGGAAGAAATGGAGAAAGAGAGGGAGAGAAATAATGCGTGGTCGCCTCTGTGGGCCCCCTCCTGGGGACCTGGCCCGCAACCCAGGCATGTGACCTGACTGGGAATTGAACCTGCGACCCTTTGGTTCACAGGCCAGCGCTCAGTCCACTGAACCATACCAGCTAGGGCGGGCTTTGCTTTTTTTAAATGAGGATATTAAGCCATGTATGTACACGAATTGGCGCGATTCAACAGTGCAAAAATGAATGGTATGGAAAGAGGGAAAGTTGCAGGAAGGAAGCTCTTCAAAACGTAAGCGGAGGGAACAGCTTGGATAGGAGGAGGAAGCAAGGAAGAAGACGTGGGCACCAGTGAAGTTGGTCGCTGAGTCTGGTGGCAGGAAGGTGAAGTAACTTGTCAGAGCTCAGTATGCAGGCCAAACAATGCCCAGTGCTGGGCAGTAATGTTCCTCTCCGTAAAACGGTCACGTCTGGCAGTCCAAGTGCACTCTGCACAACTCTTATCTTCCGCTACCCACCAACCTCCCCGCCCATGATGAGAGCAAAGGGTTAACCACAAGGTTAAAGGTCGGCGAGGTAGCAGGACGAACGAGCTCCATCTAGCCCATCTCTGGGCCTGCCGGTTTTCACCAACCTCGCCTTCTCCTTCCTACCAGACCACGTCCTCGCGCCCTCCTCCAGCCCCTCCAGATGGAAGGGGTGGGACCCAAGCGGGAGGCTCGGGGCGCGCGCCCGCGCCCGTCGCGCCTGCGCGTCGGGCTCCTC